CCATCAGATCTCGCCCCAAGTCCCAGTCCTCGGTGGAGCAAATGCAGGCCACACACAGCCGAGTCCCCACTAGCCCACCGGTGTGCACCTGGGCAGCACCACCACAGCCTTTTTCCCCTTTAAACATTGCAGCTTTGGTATGACTGGGATTTTCCCGCTCTCTCTGAATGCCAAGAGTGATTGACGTTCTTAAACTTTCTCGCTTGCGTGTCATCTTCTCTAGGCTCTTCAAACACGGGACGGTGAGCTCCCCGAGCTGTTCCAGTGCCACGGGACTGCTGATGAGCTCGTCCTGCATTCTTGGGGGGAAGAGACAAACTCGGCACTACGGTCCCTGGGAGTGAGCACCAAGTTTCACAGCTTCCCAGGACTTTACCATGAGCTGAGCACCGGGGAGCTAGAGAAACTGAAGGCGTGGATTCTTACAAAGCTGCCGGGAGAAATGGGAAGGCTCCCAGAGTGACTCAGGACTGACTTGCTGTCCTGACCTGCGTGGCTCAGTGGTTAAGGCACCAGCCTGTGCACCTCAAGGTTCACAGGTTCGATTCCCGGTCAAGGCAAGTAACATAGTACCTGGGTTACAGGTTCGATCCCTGGCCCCAGTCAGGGCAGGTGCGGGAGGCAACCCATCAATGTGTGTGTCTCACATCAGTGCAAAAAGTAGCCTCGGATGACTATCAGCAACAACAAAAAGGTCAATTTGTCTAGACCCATGAAATGTCTCCTTGAGAAGTGATTCTTACTGCCAAGTTATAATGTGATCAATGATCATTAAAATATTAAGGAACATCAACAGTTTACTGACTGACTTGTTATTGTAAGGCTCAGCACCATGGAGAATAGAATATTAAGGTAAACATTAATGCAGACAAACACCTGTGTATTATTTTCAGATGCATTTTTGTAAATATTTGTAGACCTTTTAAGTAATTGAATACTAAAATTTTAAAAAGTAGTTCAAAAGAGTTTAAATGAGGCCCATAAGAAAACATGAAAAGACCTAACATGGTATTATTTCTTTCCTACCACTTTCTTCACATTACCTTTCCAAAGAGACTCATGTCTATGTAGTTGACAGAACAGCAGTCCTCCAGGTTTATAAAGTGGCTTCACATGCTCTCACTTGACCATCACAAGAGCTTGATGAGATAGACTGAGGAGCTTCATTGGTGTTTGATAATAGGGACAGGAGGACTCAAGGCCTCCCCAGAGCTGCAAGAGCCAAGACTAGACCCAGGCCTGACTGTCAGTGCAGCTCCGTCTGTTAGAGCAAATCCTGCTCCTCTCCGGTGCTAGAGCTCCGGGGGTGCTCCCGATCCCGCCAGCACATGGTGGGGCCAGGCTTCCCAATTTTATCCATCTAATCAGTGCATCACATGGTGCATTCTCCTGACGACTAATGATGTTAAGCAGTTTTATATGTTTATTTGTGATCTGTATAAATTCTTTGGTTATATAGCTAATCAGATCTTTTGCTCATTTTTATTAGGCTATTTGTCTTTTTGCACTGTAAGAGTTTTTTTAAAGTATGCTAGATACTAGTTGTTATTAGTCTGTGGCTTACTTTGTTCTTTCCAGTGTTATTCAAAGAGCAAAAGGTTTTCATACGAGGAAATGCAGCTTATTCATTTTTTACTTATATTTTGGGCTTTTAATGTTATGTTTAAGAAAGCCAAGGTCACTAAGATTTTTTGCCTATATTTTCTACTGGAAATTTTAGAGCTTTAGATTGTATATCGTCCCTGGCAAAACTATACTTAGCAATACCTTAAATTTGTTTAACTTCACATTTTACTTAAATGTGGACTGTGTGCATGTGATAGCTACAAACCTTTCTCCACAAACCAATCCATGGGCAGGAGATATAGCTAATCTTCAATCCAGCCTGGTCCCCTACCCACTGGGCTCGTGTGTTCATTCTGTTATCATGAGCTCTTTTCCCTCTTTCCAGATCATGCAAGATACGAACCCCCTTGCCCAAAGCAGTACATTCAGGGGNATAGTTTATATAGATAATCTTCAATCCAGCCTGGTCCCCTACCCACTGGGCTCGTGTGTTCATTCTGTTATCATGAGCTCTTTTCCCTCTTTCCAGATCATGCAAGATACGAACCCCCTTGCCCAAAGCAGTACATTCAGGGGAGGCCCTCCATCATCCAGTTACCACGCGCGAATCTTGAGATACCTGTTATCCATCGGCGTGTGGTCTCAAAGCCTGAAAAGTCATCTCTGAGGCTGCGAACACCAGGCTGAAGTGTCTGTCCTCCCAAGGAAACCACTCACCATTGTCCTCATGTCCCACCCCAAGCCCATTGGTGCTTCACCCACAGAAATGTTTCCTTAGAGGAGGGAATGAAATAACCGCTGTGCTTTCTTGCTTGGGAGAGGAAAGATGGCAACAAGGAGAAGGCATAGATCACTAAATTCAACATGCGTATGTGTTGGGGAGACTGGAACTTTGCAAGAGAGGCGAGCTAAAAAGCCTGGATGCAAGGGAAGCGAGACTCTTTTATTCTATATTTCCCTCTTTGCATTTTTATTATGAGCTTTATTACTTTTGTAATCTTTAAAGTAATGTGAAACATTTACCACTGAAGGCTGCATAAGAAAGGTCATTATCAGCGGTAAGGAGATCAGATGCAGTCTGTAGGAAGCTGAGCATTTCGATGGAAGTGTAACAGGAGGAACTGAGAACAAAACGTGGAGCAGACTGGCAGCTGGCAACTGAGAATTCACGGTCCCTTGCTAGCTATGTCCAAGAAAATGTCCAGGTATCACCTGGCCAGCAAATACTTAAAAAGTCTCCATCATATTAAAGGGATTTCTTGATACATAAGGGAACAGACTAAAGCCATACAAACATTCCTAGAAAATATCAGAAGCATGCAAACATTTCACGAGAATCCATATTACATGACACACAAAGACAGCAGGTTCGCCAGACGCTAACTCTGCGTAGTTCTCACACGTGAGGAGACAGTTGTATCGCGGAGAGCAAACGTGCCGCATGTAGCCACATACAAACTTGTGGAGGGAAGGTGTCGCCTGAGCAGATTCCTATGCTGAGCGTAAGCCGCGACCCAGGCCTGTATTTTCTCCGTCATGCCTGAGCCATTTAGCTGCATCCTGGTCACCCAGAAGGGCTGGGTGCCAGAGAGACGGGGGTATTTTCATAAACCTTACAGACACCCAGATGCCCCCCTTTTGGCCACCGTGGACTACCGTAGGGGGACAGAGTTGCCTCCCTGGTACCTCCAGAGGAGGAAATGAGGTGGGAAACCATGGATTCCCCAGTTGACCGCACAGTTCGGCCAAGTGTTCGCTACGATTTCCCATGGGCTTCCCTCCGATTCCGTCAGCCCCCTGCAAAGCCTGCCTTTTGTCCTGGCTAGTCCTGGAGAGCGTGAGGACGTGAGTATGAGTGGACTTTACAGAAGTGTGCAGTATTATTTAACGGCTGTTTTCTTTGCGCTGCCCTCGAGTCGTGTGCGCTGCCTCTGTGGTTTTATTTAGGCCTTTGTTTTGAATTGGCTGTGAAAGCCATATGTGATTTTTGTATTACAAATGGAATTAATGGTTCTGTGATGAGTAGTGGACATCCTGTTTTGAAGAAATCATGTTTTGGGCAAAATGCCCATTAGCGACTTATGTTTTTGCCAATATTTAGTTCAGAGCCTCTGGGATCTCTTTTTCTTTTTTTTTTTAAGAAGTGATGAAAAAGTTTTATGCTTTTGCATTCTATTTTAAATTCCTTTTAGCACTGATTTCAAAATAGCTTGTTACTGCATTTTTTAATTATTGCAACGAATTCATAATTGTTTTGTTTGGGTGCTTCATACCTACTCATAAGGGCATAGTACTGTTTTTTTTAATATGTTTTTATTGATTTCAAAGAGAGGAAGGGAGAGGGAGAAACATCAGTGATGAGAGAAAATCATTGATCAGCTGCCCTCCTGCACACCCCCTACTGGGGGTCGGGCCCTCAACTTGGGCATGTGCCCTGACCCAGAATCAAACCCTGACCTCCTGCTTCATAGGTCGACGCTCAACCACTGAGCAACACCGGCCCGGTGGGCATAGTACTGCTTTTAAAATCACTGTTTTCATTTTGTGTCCCTCTTTCTTCCCATCCCAATTTTTTCTAGTCCGTTGTTGGCTTTGTCCAATCAAACCTAGAGATATACTTGACATATTAGTTACCTGACACAGTAATTTTGGCCAGTCCTGGTATGCTGCTCTCTTTTGCCAGTGAAATTATTGAAATTGAAAAATTGGGCAGAGGTGTATGTGAGAGACATAAGTCTTTCCCCTGGGCATTAACTCTGAAGCTAGTTTATCACATAACAGGAGCGAAATGTTAAAACCAACGTTCTCAGCGAACTGGCTGGAGCAAGTAAACGGTTCTCTTTAAAAAATTCACTTCAGCAATAAAACTCAGGTCTAAAAATTCAATGGCAAATGAAAAAATATCGATTTCAAATAGTAGCTGGAATGCTTTCTCTTTTTTTAGGTTTCTTAATTATCCTGTGACATGTCAGGCGAGATTTAGGGCAGCTGGTTAGCATTGTCTTGGTTCTGCCATAGAATCAAAACTTTTCAACTGCTGGAGGGAATTCAGAGATCACCATTTCACACACATGGAAGCTGAGATCTAAAGAGACACGTCATCGCTCTCAGGGAGCAGGACTAGAACACAGCTCCTTTGTCCCCGCTGCCATTGTGGTCGTGCTCAGAAAGGAGCTGAACATTCACTAAACTGCAAACGTCTCAGATTCAGAGCTACTTTCTTCCCTTATATTCCTGCTTCTGTCCTGTTTTCTAAAGGAGTGTAGCAGTCTCCCCCTCTGCCTCAGTATAACAGCAGGACCAATTTTTAAGCCATGCCATAGATTTCAGAGTTTTCAAAGATTACGCATCATTTCTATCAGCTTTAACTCTGAATCCCATAGCCTGCTTCAGTCTTTATCTTACCTAATATCTTTGTAGGATGTGACACTTTGCTTAACCCCCGATTCTGGACACCTGAGCCTTCGGGCCTAGTTTTCCTAGGCTCTCTGGACGATGACTGCTCTGTCTCAGTGGCTCCTCCACTGTTAGTCCCTTCATGTGGAGGCTCCTCCTTTTGGCTCTGGCCTTTCCTATTCTCTCTCTAGGTGACCTTCCCCTTCTGTGGAGCCTGCTGGCTCCATTACTACACCTCTAGCCCCACGCTCGCATTGGAGCTCCCCACCTGGGTGTCAGACACCCACTATCCATGTACTATATCCAAAACAATGCAAAACCTTCACACTTGCCAAATGTGGGGTTTAGGTTAAGGATGTATATAATCTCTCCAACACTCTGTCCCCTCACCGGTGAAATGGGTTTGCTGTGCAATTAAATGGGAAGAGCCCAGCGCAGCAGTTGAGAATCATCACTCCTGTTGCCCGAACCTGCTTCCCCTGTTGTGTGGTCCATTTTGAATGACTTTCCCTCCACCTAATAATGTCTGTGTGTCCTGCTCTGCCTTCCCCCTCATGTTTTCATCCTGTCGGTCCACAATTCCTTCGGACGTTCTGTTAAAGGAACACCTTTCCATTTTCCCCTCTGAACCGTCCTCAGGGTCTCTGCCTTGGTTGCGGTCTCATGCCCTTGGGTGGGTCTCCCTGCCTCCGGTCTCTGCCATCTACTTGTTATCCATCGGTGTTCCTGGCCTTCTCCACTCCCTAACAATCCCCTGCTGGCTCCTCAGTGTCTTCAGGACAAAATTTAATTCTTCAGCTAAAGAGCAAATCCCTTAAAAATCTAGCCCTG